GCAGCCCCTCTCCGGTTTACGTGCCCCGCTGCGCGGACTCTTTGCTGCAGCGCTTCGGGCTGCTGCAGCAGCAGCAGCAGCTGCTGCAGCAGCAGCAGCAGCTCCACCACAGGCAACTCGCCCTCCTCAGGCAGCAGCAGGCAGCGCACAACCACGCCGCTGCTGCTGCAGAGCAACTCGAACTCCTGCAGCAGATCCAGCAGCAGCTCCGCCTCGAGCAGCAGCACCACCAGCAGCAGCACCACGCCCTCCTCTCCCAGCTCCAGCAGCAGCAGCAGCAGCAGCAGCAGCAGCAGCAGCAGCAGCAGCTCGTCCCCGCGGAACCCCACCCGCAGTCCCGCCAGCACCAGCAGCAGCTCCTGCAGCAGCAGCAGCAGCTCCAGCTCCAGCTCCAGCAGCAGCAGCAGCAGCAGCAGGAACTCGAGGAGGAACTGCAGCAGCACGACCGCGAAGTCGCGCAGCTGCAGCAGCAGCAGCAGCACCTCCTGCAGCGCATCGACCTGCTGCAGCACGAACGCGACCAAACTGCTGCTCAGGAAAAACAAATTTGCCTTTCTCTCTTCGAAACTCCTTTTTCTTTCCATGCTCTTGTCTTGGCTTCTTTTGCTGCTTTCTTCGCTCCCTTCGGCGGCTTCTTTGCTTCCGGATTCAAACGCGCCGTCCGCATCAAGGTAAACCACTTTCGAGGGTTTGCGAACACTCGCGGGGGCTTCCGAGGGTTTACGAGGGTTTACGGGGGTTTACGAGGGTTTACGAGGGTTTACGAGGGTTTGGGGGGGTTTACAGGGGTTTACGAGGGTTTATAGGGGTTTACGAGGGTTTATAGGGGTTTACGAGGGTTTATGGGGGTTTACGAGGGTTTATGGGGGCTTACGAGGGTTTGCGAGGGTTTACGGGGGTTAAGGGGGTTTGCGGGGGTTAAGGGGTTTAAGGGGATTTGCGAGGCCAGCTAGCCAGCTAGCTAGCTAGCCAGCCAGCTAGCTAGCCAGCCACTCGGCCAGCTAGCCAGCTAGCCACCCAGCCAGCTAGCCACCCAGCCGGCCAGCTCGACAGCTAGCTAGCTAGCCACTAGCTAGCTGGCCGCAAGCTAGCCAGCCAGTACCCAGCTAGCTAGCTAGCCAGTGCGCAGCTAGCTAGCTAGCCAGTGCGCAGCTAGTCAGCTAGCCAGCTAGCTAGCCAGCTAGCTAGCCAGCTAGCTAGCCAGAGCCAGTAGCCAGCTAGCCAGCTAGCCAGCTAGCTAGCCACTGCGCAGCCAGCTAGGCAGCTAGCTAGCTATCCAGCTGGCCAGCTAGCTAGCTAGCCAGCTAGCTAGCTAGCCAGCCAGCTAGCTAGCTAGCTAGCTGCGGTGGTGGTTTGCAGGACTTCGGGTACTTCATTCCGGGCCACGGGGGCGTGACGGACCGGTTTGACTGCCAAGTGGTGATGGGCCTTTTTACATTTCTTTACCAAAAGACTTTTGTGCCGCAAGTGGGAGAAGCAGAAGCAGCAGCAAGAAGAACAGCGCAGCAGCAGCAGCAGCAGCTGCAGCAGCTGCAGCAGCGGTCGCGGCGCCGCGCCCGCAGCCCGCGGGCGCGCGCGGCCAGCCCCGAGGCCGGCAGCAGCAGCGGCGAAGACGCAGCAGCAGCAGCAGCAGCAGCAGCAGCAGCAGCGGGCGACGAAGAGCCAGCTAGCTACTGCGCGACGGACGACGCTGCAGCTAGCTGCGCAGACAGCCAGCTAGCCACCATTGAAGACCCTGCTGTCAGCAAACTCCTTGCTGCAGCACAAGATTTGTCGCTGCAGCAGCTTGCTGCGCTGCAGCAGGCCCTCGAAGCCGTCGCTGCAGCTAAAGCAGCAGAACCCGAGGGGGGCTGAGCAGCAGCAGCAGCAGCAGCAGCAGCAGCAGCAGCAGCAATGCCGCTGCTGCTGCTGGGCCCTCCCCGCTGCAGGCAGCGAGCAGGAGCCGTGCACCTGCTGCACCTGCGCGCCGCTGCAGCAGCAGCAGCAGCTGCTGCTGCTGCTGCTGCCGCACCAACTGCAGCGCTGGCTGCAGCAGCTGCGTGGCTGCAGTCCAGCAGCAGCAGCCGCTGCTGCTTCTATTGCTGCTGCTTCTGCAGCTGCTTCAACCGCAGCTGCTGCTGCAGCGGCCGCGACAATCAGTAGCAGCAGCAACTGCTGCAGCAACTGCTGCAGCAACTGCTGCGGCAGCAATAAGCTGCCCCACCTGCTGCTGCTGCTGCACAACCACGACTTCACAAGACACATGTTTTCTTGAAGATTCAGCAATTGTTACAGAATAGCTAGCTAGCTAGCTATTTAGCTAGTTAGCTATTTAGCTAGCTAGCTATTTAGCTAGCTAGCTAGCTAGCTAGCTAGCTACAGGCACAGTTTGAAGAGCACACCGGCAGTTCAGTGTGCAGGTAGCCGCAGCAGTAGTTGCTGCTGCTGCTCTTGCTGCTGCTGCTTTTGCTGCGGCTGCTAGAATAGCTGTTGCTGCTGCTGCGGCTATCGCTGAGTGGACTGCTGCTGCTGCTTGCGCTTCTGCAGCAGCTTTTGCTCGAACTACAGCAGCTGTTGCTGCTGCTGCTGCTGCTAACCTACAGCAGCAGCAGCAGCAGCAGCAGCTGCTGCTGCTGCTGCTGCTCTTGCTCTGCTACTGACGCGCGCGAGTACACTACTTCATTTGTTGCTTTCCTCCATTCGCAGCTGTCGGTACACCGCAGCGTTGGGGTGTACATACACCTCAGAAATAAACTTTTGGAAGTTTCTGGAAAATGCTGCAGCACTTTGAGGTGTACATACACTGCAAATGGGGCCACATATTGCATGCGTTAATTAAAAGTATTTAAATTAAATTATTTTTGAAATGTTTTAAACATTTTAAAAGATGTTAAAGTTCAAATTTGTTCTCCATTTGAATCAAATAAGCGCAAGTGCAAATTGAAAAAAGGAATGAAGAAGAACAGAAGAATAAAAGAAATAAAAGAATAAAAGAATAATTGAAAAAAGAAATAAAATTAAAAATAAAACAATTTAATAGTTATAGAATATCATGCGTATAGTAAATGTGGAATTGTGGAAATATACAAATTATATTGCATGCAAATCGCATGCATTAAAGACATTCAATTTGTACCATTTTGCATGTATAAATGCACATTTAAATATACTATATATATATATTAAATATTAATATATATATATATATATATTATATATATATAAATGTTGAAAAACACATTTAGAGATATATTATAAATACTCATTTAAATGTATGTTATAAAGCATATATAAATATATATCAGACATTCACAAATAAAACTCTGTCATAGTATTTTATTTACAAATGAATATTTAAATATTTGCTTTTATTTATTTTAAATGCACGTGGGCAGACAAACTGCAAATTTAGAAGTATAAAACAGGTGTACATACACCGCAAGAAAGTACTAAAAGGTCTTCTTTATCATCTTACTGCGGTGTACATACACCCGGATATATGCATATCTATAAGCATAATTTTATGGCGAAGAGGAAAACAAAAAAGTACCTTTTAAAGAAACAAAGAAGGATTTTAATTCTAATGGATTTATGCAGGAAGCTGCAGGGACTCTTTTAATGTACTTGTGTGTTCAGGTGTACAGACACCTGGCCATACAGTGCACAGAGTACATACACCCGGCGTTTCCTGGCCACTCTCGATGCTGTTTTTCTCTTCAAATGGAATTTATTTTGGGACTTTTGGAGACGTTTTTGCGTCTTTTTGGCCTTTTAATTGAAAGCAGCAGATTTGCAAAAGGCAGAAAATGTTTAAATGCATTTATTTTCTTTAAATGCGTCCTTCGCATCAGTGTGTTCAGGTGTACGTACACCCGAATGCATGCAGCGGCACGCCTGCGCACCTCGACCTGCAGGGTTTTAAAAGCGTTTTCTTCGCCAAATGCAGCAATATAAATAATATAAATGCATTTATCAGCAAATATGCAAAATTATAAATGTTTAAATGCATATTTTGTGCACATTTTGGAGATTTTCGTCTTTGCGCAGCCCGAGCTGCCAGCCCTTCAGGTGTATCTACAGCTGGTGCACCGGCAGGCGCAGCGGCAGAAAAAAGGAAATTCAGAAAATTAAAAATTGAAAAGAATAAAAACTAAATAAACTGCTTTCGAATTAATTGTTTATTGAAAAGCAAAAGCAGACTCAAAACAGACCTAGCAGCAAACAAATAAATAAACAAAAAGTAAAAATTGGTTTTAAATTAATTGGTTGTTCATAAATAACGGTCATCACTGCGGTGTATGGACACCTCCCTCTAAATATGAAAGCAGCAGCAGCAGCTGCTGCTTCTGCGACAACAGCAGCAGTTGCAACAGCTGCTGCTGTTGCTGTTATTGTTGCTATTGCTGGAGTGGTGGGCGCTGCTCTTGCTGCTGCTGCTGCTGCTGCTACTATTGTTGTTAATGTTGCTGCTGCTGCTGCTGCTGTTATTTATGTTGTTGCTGCTGCTGCTTGCGTCGCTGCTGCTGCTGCTGGCAGCAGAGCGCATGCGCGTCTTCTGTGGCTAATGGATTATTCAACAAATGATTTTTATAATCCATTTAATCATTTTTTCTTTTCATTTATTTGAGTATTCCAATCCAATTGAGCTCACGTGCTGCAGAAGCTCTGCTCTGCAGCAGCAGCTGCTGCTGACACTGCAGCAGCAGCAGCTGCTGCTGCTGGCACTGCAGCAGCAACGGCAGCTGCTGCTGGCACTGCAGCAGCAGCAGCAGTAACAACTGAAGCAAGCCAAAGACCAACGGCAGCAGCAGCAGCAGCAGCACCAGAAGCAGTGACTCTTCAGTGGAGGCCCTTGGCGTTCCTTTGAGCATTTGTCTCTTCCTTCTGCAACCGCTGCTGCTGCTGCTGCTGCTGCTGCTGCAGCTCCTGCTGCACTAAATCACTGTTGTCTTTCCTTTTTTTGCTGCACTGCTTTTCTCATTTTGTTTTTTTAATTCAAAAATTAATTTTGTTTTTTTCTTTTAGTTCTTCTCTGGAAGAGCAGCCAACTCGCTGTACACTCCTGCTTCGGCCTGCAGCAAATCTGCTGCAGTAGACGCTGCCACCTGCAGCAGCAGCAACAGCAGCAGCAGCGCAGCAGCAGCAGCGCAGCAGCAGAAGCGCCTGAACAGCTCAAAGTGCGGCAGCAGAAACGTTGCAGCAGCAGCGGCACTAAGCAGCAGCCAAACCGCATCTGCAGCAGCAGATTCAAGCTTCAAGAGCAACAACAGCAAGAGCAACAGCAGCAAAAGCAACAGCAGCAAGCGCAGCACCAGAAAAAGCAGCAGCAGCAAAGGCTGCACTAGCAAGAGCAGCAGCAGCAGCAGCAGCAGCAGCAAACCGGATCAGGAAATTTTCCAACTTCGATTTGCCCACGGCGCTGCAAACCGAGCCAAACAGATTTCGCGTCTTCTCTGGTTAGCTCCTTGATGTGTCTGCAGCACAGCAGCAGCAGCAGCACCACAGCAGCAGCAGCAGCAGCAGCATGAGCTGAAGCGGCAGCAGCAGCAGTAGTGCCCATAGCCGCTGCAGCAGCAGCCGCAGCAGCAGCAGCTACTGCTGTCGAACTTCCACCGCAAGCAGCGCTGGTGGCCGTCGCAGCAGACGCAGCGGCATCAACAGCAGCAGCACCGACAGCAGCAGCAGCAACAGCAGCAGCAGCAGCAGCAGCAGCAGCAGCAGCAGCAAGTGCTGCTGCTGACTTTACAAGGGCATTAACAACTGCTTCTTCTTCATATCCAATATCGAAAAAAAGGCGAAGACAAAAGCGGCCCGGCGGCGCCCGGCGGCCATCCCACGGCTCCGCCTCAGGCTCAAGCTCCTGCAGCAGCAGCAGCAGCAGCAGCAGCAGCAGCAGCAGCAGCAGCGGAGATGGAAGCACACGGGGCAGCGGGAGAGGTGAAGCAGCAGCAGCAAGGGCTTAATTCTTCCTACAGCAGCAGCAGCAGCAGCAACTGATGGGCCTGATGACGCAGCTTAATCTCACTGTAGTCTTTGCTGGTTCGTGCTGCTGCTGCTGCTGCTGCTGCTGCTGCTGCTGTTGCGGATCGGGAGAGAGCTGCAGCAGCTGCTGCAAATGCCTGTTGGGCAGCTTCTTCACGAAGGGCGCTGGCAAGGCCCCTTGTGGGGTGGCGAACCGCCGCGTCTTGCTGCTGCTGCTGCTGCTGCTGCTGCTGCTGCTGCTGCTAAAGAGCGGCTGCTGCAGCGGGAGCCGCGAAGGGCCATGAAGAGAGGCAGCAGCAAAAGGCACAGCAGCAAATCCCAAGGATTTGCTGCCTCCATTTGCAGAGAGAAGCACAGCCCCTAATTTAGTCTGGCTAGCTGCGGCAGACGCAGAGCTAGCTGCAGGAGCTGGCTGGCTAGCTGCTGCTGCTGCTGGCTGGCCGGCTGCTGCTGCTGGTGACTGGCTAGCTGCTGCTGCTGCTGGCTGGCTAGCGGCTGCTGCTGTTTGTTGGTTAGCTGCTGACGCCAGCTGGCTAGCTGCAGCAGAACCTACAGCAGGAGCTGCAGCAGGAGCTGCAGCAGGAACTGCAGCAGGAGCTGCAGCGGGAACTGCAGCGGGTGCGGCAGCGGGAGCTACAGCAGGAGCTGCAGCAGGAGCTGCAGCAGGAGCTGCAGCAGGAGCTGCAGCAGGAGCTGCAGCAGGAGCTGCAGCAGAGTGCGGCCGCAGCGGCAGCAAACCCAACTCAAACTTTCTGCGCAGCCCCCTGAGGAGGCGGCGAGGGTCTCCTGCTGCTTCCAGCTGCTGCTGCTGCTGCCGCCTTCGCCTCTGCTGCTGCGGCTGCTGCTGCTGCTGCAGCTGCAGCTGCTGCTCCCGCAGCTCCTGCAGCAGCAGCCGGCGGCGCTGCCGCTTCGAGAGCTGCATCCATGCTGTTAAAAATGCCAGTGCCTTGCCTGGGGACACAAACCCTAAACCCTAAACCCTAAACCCTAAATGCCAAACCCCAAACCCTAAACCCTAAGAGTACACCCTAGAAGGTACAACTGCAGGCCTTGAGAGCATACGTCAAGCCCTCCGTCTTATAGCAGCAGCTGGCAGGCTCGTTAGGGTTTAGGGTTTAGGGTTTAGGGTTTGGGACCTCTGCGCTGCTGCTGCTGCTGCTGCGGCAGCTGCAAGGCTGCGGGAGACTGCAGCAACTCCTCTAGGGACTTCTTCAAGTCTCTCTGCAGCGAGTGGCTTCTGTACTCTGCTTCCACGTACGACTCTGCAGCAGCAGCAGCAGCAGCAACAGCAGCAGCAACAGCAGCAGCAGCAGCAGCAGCAACAGCAGCAGCGGCAGCATTTGCAGAAGCAGGGTCATGAGAGAACAGGCAAGCAACGCTGCAGTTGCACCAGCCAGCAGCAGCTGCAGCGTCGCCCCAACGCACAGCAGCAGCAGCAACACAAGCAGCAGCAACAGCAGCAGCAGCAGCAACACAAGCAGCAGCAACAGCAGCAGCAGCAAAAGCAGCAGCAGACCTAGTTCAGCAAAGTCCGTTAGGGGTTTATAGTCTGGGTAATCTGCTTTCGCCAAAGTATCAAAAACTGCTCCTGCATCTGCTGCTAGCTGCAGCAGCCGCTCTCTTTCCCGCTGCTCCTGCTGCTGCTGCTGCTGCATCTGCTGCTGCAGCAGCCGCCGCTTCTGCATCCGCTTCGCTGCGCTCCCCATTGCGCGTACCGCCGGCTGCTTCATGTCCTGTTGCTGCTGCTGCTGCTGCTGCAGCTGCTGCTGCTGCTGCTGCTGCTGCTGCTGCTCTGGCGGCGTCCAGATGCGGCCGCCTATAGAGACTTCGGAGGGGGCCGTGAAGACCTCCGTGTCTTCGAGCGTAGCAGCAGCAGCAGCAGCAGCAGTTGCTGCTGCTGCTGCTGCTTTTCTGCGGCTCTTGGGGCCCAGCAGCGGCAGGTTCATGCTTGCTGCTGCAGCACGAGCGTGGCTAGTTACCCGGGCCATTATTCGGGCGAAGCGGGACTTGGGCCGCAGCCGCTGCTGCTGCAGCAGCTGCTGCTGCTCCGAAACCGACAGCAGCCGCGGCAGCTGCTGCTGCTGCAGTGCTGCTTGCATTGCCCGCAGCTGCATCAGTTCAAGTTTGCCTTCAGCAGACACCAGCCCCAGTTCCTGCGGCACACGAAAGGCTCAAACGCTCGCTGCTGCTGCTGCGCTGCTGCTGCTGCTGCTGCTGCTGCACTTGCTGCTGCACTTGCTGCTGCACTTGCTGCTGCTGCTCCTTACCTGTAGCCTTTTAATGGCCGCGCTGCGCAGCGCAGCCCTAGCCTTTGCTGCCTTCGCGGCCAGTTCAGCTGCGTGCTGCTTGTCAGGTGATCCCCCAGCAGCAGCAGCAGCAGCAGCTGCTGCTGCTGCAGCAGCTGCAGCAGCAGCAGCAGCTGCTGCAGCAGCAGCTTCGGGGGGATGCCAAGACTTGGAGTGCCTGTGCAGGTAAAGAGGCACGAAATTCGTGTGGGGTAAATCCCGCAGCAAACCGAAGCGCTCAAAAGCCCCTTCTTCCAGCAGCAGCCGCGGAGATACGCCGTCAGCCTGCAGCAGCAGCAGCAGCAGCAGCAGCAGCAGCAGCAGGGCATAGGCTACAGGATGAGCAGCAGCAGCTTAGGAGGAAACAGCAAGAGTGCAGCGCGAAGTGAAGCAATTCGAGCAGCAAACGACGCAGCAACAGCTGTTGCAGCAGCCGCCACCGCAGCAGCAGCAGCAACTGCAGCACCTGCCGCAGCAACAGTGGCGTTTGGCTGCTCCTTGTGCAGCAGCAGCAGCAGCAAAAGCAGCAACCGTGGGAGCAGCAGCAGCAGCAGCAAAACACAATAAGAAGGGAAGGAGGAGCGGCAGCAGCGGTGGCAGAAACAGCAGCTGCTGCAGCACCAAGTACAGCAGCAGCAACAGCAAAACCAGCGGCAACAGCAGCACTCTGCACTCATTGCCTGTCACCGCAGCAGCAGCAGCAGCAGCAGCACAAGCCGAAAGGCCACAACCCACAGCTGCAGCAGCAGCAACAAGAGCAGCAGCAGCAGCAGCAAAGCAGCAGCAATCATGCAGCAGAGCAGCAGCAGTAGCTGCAGCAAGACAAGCACCAAAAGGAGGAGCAGCAGCTGCCGCTGAACTGCCCCGAGCAGCAGCAACAGCAGCAGCAACAGCAGCAGCAACAGCAGCAGCAACAGCAGCAGCAGCGCGGACCTGAAGCCTCCTGGCAACTGCGAGCAGCTGCTGCTGCTTCCTCTTGAGAAGCCCCTTGTACCTTTTCTGCTGCAGCGCCTGCCACAAAGCATCAATTTGCTGCAGCAGCAAGCAGCAATTAAAAGGACTTAAGGGACTAATCTTCGAGGCTTTTAGCTGCGGCAGCAGTCCCCGCCGGCCCCGCAGCAGCAGCTGAGCTGCGCACGAGTCCGCTGCTGCTGCTGCTGCTGCTGCTGCTGCTGGGCTGCTCGCTGCTGCTGTTGCTTCTGGGGGGGCTGCCGCTGCTGCTGCTGCTGCTGGTGACCCTGCTGCTGGCGGCGAATCTGCTGCTGCTGCTGCTGCTGCTGGGGTCGCTGGCAAGCGGGCAAGTGAGCTGCTCTTAGATGATCCCGAGCCCGCTGTTGCTGCTGCTGCTGCTGCTGCTGCTGCTGCTGCTACTGGTTCTGGGAGGCTGTCTTGGCACGCTGAGCAAAAGCACCAAGGCGCAGCAGCAGCAGCAGCTGGGGCAGCAGCAGCAAATGGAGCAGCACGGCTTAAGTGCTCCCTCCTTAAATGAAGCAGCAACTGCAGCAGCAACTGCAGCAGCAACTGCAGCAGCAACTGCAGCAGCAACTGCAGCAGCACCTGTTCAGCGTACAGCACTCCATGCATTTAAGCAGACCCGCCCAACCAAGCGAGCTCTAGGGTTTAGGGTTTAGGGTTTAGGGTTTACGGGGGCCTAAGATAAGCTCCGAAGCTGTTGGGGCCCTCACGGGAGAAACAGCAGCAGCAAAATGTTGGCTCAGCTTCTTCAAAACAGCATCTTCCTGGTGTACATACACCGCAGCCCACAGACTGGAAACACAGGTGCAGCAGCAGCAGCAGCAGCAGCAGCAAGCAGCAGCAGCAGCAGCCGTGCGCGCAGGCAGCAGCAGCAGAAGAATCGGCGCTGCTGCTCGCTTCCAAGAACAAACTAGAGTGATACGCGGGCGACGCAGCAGCAGCAGCAGCAGCAGCAGCAGCAGCAGCAGCAGCAAAACAATACCTTTTTTTCTGCGAGCTGCTGCAGCTGCTGCAGCAGCTGGTGCAGCTCTGGCTGCTTGGCGAGGCGCTGCAGCTGCTGTGCTGCTTCTGTATCCGGAGCAGCAGCAGCAGCAGCAACAGGGGGCTGCCCGGGACAGGCAGCAGCAAGCTTGGCTTCTGCTGCTGCTGCTTTTGCTGCAGCAGCTTCTGCAGCAGCACGGAGGGCTCTAGCGTACGCTGCAGCGTCGACTTGCAGTCCCGGCGTTGCTGTTGCTGTTGCTGCTGCTGCTGCTGCTGCTGCTTCCTCGGGATCTGCTGCAGTAACTGCAGCAGCAATTGCTGCTGCTGCTGCTGCTGCTGCGCGGGGCGGGCGCACATCACAAGGCACTGGGGCCCTCAGCAAGCTGCTGCTGCCCCGCCGGTGCTGCAGCGGCAGCTGCTGCAGCAGCAGCAGCAGCTGCTGCAGCGGAGCAGCACGCAGCGCCTCCAATCCATCCTTGTCCTGATAAACATCACCGCCTCTAAACCCTAAACCCTAAACCCTAAACCCTAAACCCTAAACCCTAGGGTCTGGGCCTCAAGTCACAAATACCAAGCCCTTGCAGCTCAGCCAAATAGAGTACCCGCTGCTGAGGCTCTGCGAGAACCGAAACCCTAAACCCTAAACCCTAAACCCTAAACCCTAAACCCTGAACCCTAAACCCTAAACCCTTACAGGCACTGCCAAGTACTCTGGAGGCGCATTGGCAAAGTCTGTGGGGTCCTTCTGGTAAGGCGTTGGCTTGTTGTTTATTGAAGAGGGCCGAGTCTGCACAAAACCCTAAACCCTAAACCCTAAACCCTAAACCCTAAACCCTGAACCCTTGGGTCAGCGGTAGCTACAGGGGCCTTGAAAGAAACGGATTCCAGGCAGCAAAGCAGCAACAGGCAGCCAGAAGCAGAAGCAGCAACAGCAGCAGCAGCAACAACAGCAAAGCAGAGCCTGAAGCAGCAGCAGCAGCAACAACAACAACAACAACAGCAGCAAAGCCGAGCCAGAAGCAGCAGCAGCAGCAACACAACTAACTTTTTTGGGTCTGCTGCGGTTCCAGTGCTTCGCGCCTTTCTTCCGAGGATGGTGCGCGTAGAGCTGCTGCTGCTGCTGCTGCTGCTGCTGCTGCTGCTGCTGCAGTTGCTGCAGCAAACAAGACTGCCTATGTAGGGAAGAAACGCTTTCGCTGTGCAGCCTTGCTGCTGCTGCTTGCGCTGCTGCAGTTGCTGCTGCAGTTGCTGCTGCAGTTGCTGCTGCAGTTGCTGCGGGCTTGTACGGGGAGGAGATGAAGGCAAAAGGCTGCTGCTGCAGTGGCGAGGTGCTGCAGCAGCTGCCGCTGCTTGTTGCAGCCGCCGGCGCTGCAGCAGCAGCAGCAGCTGCTGCTGCTGCTGCAGGCCAGCAGCAGCAGAAAATGTAAAGGCTGGCAGCAAACAAGACCATAGGAGAGCAGCGCCTCCAGCTGAAGCGCTGCAGCGTGAATTGCTGTTGCTGCAGCAGCAGCAGCAGCCGCAGTTGCTGCAGCAGCTGCAGCAGCTGCAGCAGCTGTTGCTGCGTCGCCACTTGGGCGCACCACCACATGGAATATGATGCAGCAGCAGCAGCAGCAGCAGCAGAAGCGGCAGCAGCAGCGGCAGCAGCAGCTGCTGCAGCGCGCTGAGACCTAAAAAGAAATACCCATTGTGGCCCTCTTGAACTGTTGCTGCTGGTTCTGCTGCTGCTGAGGTCCTGCTGCTAAACACTGCAGCGCCAGCTGCTGCTGCTGCTGCTGCTGCTGCTGCTGTTGCCGGTGCTGCTGCTGGTATCGCCGCTGGTGTCGTTGTTGCCGCTGCTGTTACTCCTGCCGGTGTTGCCGCTGCTGTTGCTGCTGCTGTTGCTGCTGCTGTTGCTGCTGCTGTTTCTGTTGCCGTTGCTGCTGCTGTTTCTGTTACCGTTGCTGCTGCTGTTGCTGCTGCTGCTGCTACTGCTGCTGCTTCTACTGCAAGGAAGGATTTAGCGCCGCTGAAAGCCGAATGACGCAGCCAGCAGCTCAAGAAGGAGGGGGCCCCTCAAACCCTAAACCCTAAACCCTAACTCCTAAACCCTAAACCCTAAATCGTAAGCCCTAGCGTCCGACCGGTGTAACTTGCTGTAAATAATGCAAAAAAGGAAAAGAAAATATAAAAAACTGGAATCAAACAATAGCCTAGGGTTTAGGGTTTAGGGTTTAGGGTTTAGGGTCTAGGGATGGCTCCGATGGGGCTGGTAAGCGAGCGAGGAGTCTTAATCAAATTCAGCTGAACCCGTATTGAATTGATTTCAAGGGTTTAGGGTTTAGGGTTTGGTGTGTAGGGTTTAGGGTTTAGGGTTTAGCGGTTGCTTGTCTCATGGTGTCTCGGCGTGTCGGCGCTGCTCTGTAGGCTTCGCCCGTGCGTCAAGGGTTTAGGGTTTAGGGTTTAGGGTTTAGGGTTTGAGCCCCTGCAGCAGCAAATGGCAGCTGTCTCCCCCTCCGCAGTTTCCCTGGTGGTGCCTGCAGCAGCAGCTGCTGCTGCTGCTGCTGTGTCGGCGTCTGGTGCAGCAGCAGCAGCAGAACTCTGCAGCAGGCGAGTTGCTGCTGCTGCGCTGCTGCAGCAATTCGATGTCTTCGTCTTTGACTGCGACGGGGTCTTGTGGCACGGCAGCAAACTGCTGCCGGGCATCCGGGGGATGCTGCAGCAGCTGCAGCAGACCCCCCGCAGCAGCAGCAGCAGCAGCAGCAGCAGCAGCAGCAGCAAAAAGAGCGTCTACTTCCTCACTAACAACAGCACTCTCAGCCGCAGGGGTTTTATCGAGAAGCTGAATGGGCTCGGAATCACGGCCACGGAACAGCAGGTCACTCCCTAAACCCTAAACCCTAAACCCTAAACCCTAAACCCTAAACCCTAAACCCTAAATTCCAAATGGCAAAACCTAAGACCTGAGGCCTAAGCTGCTGCTATCTATATCAGTGAAGGATTCCGCAGCGGACAGGGCTAGGCATGGGGTTTAGGGTTTAGGGTTTAGGGTTTGGGGCCTAGGGTTTAGGCAGTAGGGCCTAGGGTTTAGGGTTTAGAGTTTGTGCGCTGCAGGTTCTGTGCACAAGTTATTCTACGGCCAGGTACATCCTGCAGCAGCGGCAGCAGCAGCAGCAGCAGCAGCAACAGCAGCAGCAGCCCTGCAGCAGCAGCAGCACAGAGCAGCAGCAGCAGCAGCAGCTGCAGCAGCTGCTGCTGCGGCCAAAGGTGTATGTGGTTGGAGAGAAGGGTTTGCTGGAGGAGCTGCGCCTCAACGGGATCGACGCCATTGGTGGACCCGAAGGTGCTAAACCCTAAACCCTAAACCCTAAACCCTAAACCCTAAACCCTAAACCCTAAGCCCTAAGCCGTTAGCCCTAAACCCTAAACCCTTACGCGCAGAAAACTACAGTTAGCCTTTGCTGTGGGAGCCATGAGCCCCGCGAAGACCCCCGAGGAGCCGCACTGTCGAAACTAAACCCTAAACCCTAAACCCTAAACCCTAAACCGTAAACCCTAAACCCTAGAATTGTTCCGAAGCCACGGGCGCAGCACCCTCGCGCGTGGAAGGCGCACCCGACGGCCGCGGGCCTGCCCCGCGTCGCGAAACCCTGAATCAGGGTTTAGGGTTTAGGGTTTGGGGTTGGGTTTGGCGCAGAGACGTACGAAGAAATAGACTTCGGGAGTGACCCTGGGGTGTACGTACACCCCGAAGTGGGCTGCGTCGTCGTCGGACTCGACCGAAAGTTCAGTTATAAAAAACTTCAAAAAGCGCAGTTGTATTTGAACTGCCAAGACTCAGTGTTTCTGGCCACCAACTCGGACCCTCTGGGGAACTTCAAACCGGAGCGCTAAACCCTAAACCCTAAACCCTAAACCCTGGAGGTCTTCTTAGGGGATGCCCCTCGGTGTCTCGATGACTGCGCTGAAATCTAAACCCTAAACCCTAAACCCTAAACCCTAAACCTAAAGGAGAGCGCAAGGCAAGAAGACCCCAGCGTGAGACTGCTGGTAAGCGCCTAGGGCTGGAGTCCGAGGCGATTAG